AGAATTCATGGTGATTGACACACCTTCACCATATAACATCATCTTGGGAAGACCATGGTTGCATGCAATGGGGGCAGTTCCCTCAACATTACATCAACTACTGCGGTTCCCAACAGAGCATGGGATTGAAGAAGTCAGAGGAGATCAACTGCAGGCAAAGAATTGCTCCATGGCAGCAATGAAATCCACCTGTAACATTCGAGAACCAGAAAAGGTAGAAATTGAAGATGATGACGTGAAAGTCCTGGAATACGTCGGCAAAGAACCAGCCGAGAAGAGCGAAGAGGCGCTGAAGAAAATCCTCGTTCAGAATGGGAACGAAGAACGCTTCTTTCTTCTCGGCTCGGGCTTAGCCGAAGAGGAAGAAAAAGAGTTAGAGACTTTTCTAAGAGCCAACATTGAGGTGTTCGCCTGGACACCTTACGAAATGCCTAGCATTGACCCCGAGGTTACTTGCCACAGACTGAATGTCGACAGGTCGGCAAAACCTGTGATTCAGCGAGCCAGAAGACCGACGTTGATGCACATCGAAGCGGTAGAAGAAGAAGTGAACAGATTTCTAGAGGCCAGGGCCATCCGAGAAGTTCATTACCCGACATGGCTATCCAACAACGTAGTGGTAAAGAAGAAGAACGGTAAATGGCGGGTCTGCGTAGATTTTACAAGCCTGAATAAAGCTTGTCCCAAAGACTGCTTTCCTCTACCCAAGATTGACCAGTTGGTAGACGCCACATCTGGACATGGAAGGATGAACTTTCTGGATGCTTACAGAGGATACCACCAGATAGCCATGTACCCCCCAGACGAAGAGAAGACAGCGTTTATCACCCCGAAAGGACTGTATTGTTACAAGGTAATGCCTTTTGAGTTGAAAAACGCAGGAGCAACTTACCAAAGGTTGGTAGCCAAGATGTTCAAAAATTTGGTTGGCCAAACAGTGGAAGTCTACATTGACGACATGGTCGTGAAGACCAAGGAACCAAGGGGTCATCTTGCCGACCTAAAAGAGGTCCTTGAGATACTCAAAATATACCGGCTCCGACTCAACGCATCGAAATGCGCGTTTAGAGTTGGATCAGGTAAATTTTTGGGGTACTTGGTAACAAGAAAGGGCATTGAGGCCAGCCCAGATCAAATCAAGGCCATCCTTGAGTTAAAAAGCCCGACGTTGACAAAACAGGTTCAGATGCTTACTGGAAGGGCCGCAGCCCTAAATAGGTTCATAAGCCGAAACTCAGACAAATGTAAACCTTTCTTCAACCTGGTAAAGAAGGCCACAGACTTCCTATGGACTGAGGAATGTGAGGCCGCCTTGGCCGATCTAAAGAAATATCTGACGACGGCTCCAGTCCTTTCAACACCTGAACCTAGAGAAGAACTGTTTTTGTACTTAGCCGTTTCAGAGCATGCAATAAGTGTGGTATTAATTCATGAAGAAAAAATGGAGCAAAAGGCTGTTTACTATGTAAGCAGAACCTTAGCCGATGTAGAAACAAGGTATCTACCCTTGGAAAAATTAGCGCTAGCTTTAATAATGGCTTCAAAAAAGCTGAACCATTACTTTCAAGTGCACAAGATTATAGTGCTAACAGAACACCCACTGAAGTCCTTGTTACAACAAGGAGACTTAACTGAAAGAATAGCAAGATGGGCAGTGGCCTTGGGCCAGTACGACCTGGAGTTCAGGCCGAGAACAACAATTAAGAGCTAAGTTTTGGCCGACTTCGTGGCCGAATTCAAGCCAGAATCCATTGAACATCAGGCTCCGTTGAGCCGAGATGAACGATGTCCAAGCAAACAAGGAGAAGCCCAGCCAACGACAAAAGAACAAGGAAAAGAAAAACTAAGACCCTGCAGCATTTACGTCGGCGACTCCTTTCGCCTGTTTGTCGATGGAAGTTCAAACCGGCAAGGAACGGGGGCAGGAGTAGTGTTAATATCTCCTAATGGGGAGCTATTGGAACAATCTATTCGATTGGGGTTCAAGGCCTCAAACAATGAGGCAGAATACGAAGCACTGATTGCAGGACTGAAGCTATCAGTAGCAGCAGAAGCAGATGAGGTAATAATTTTTTGTGATTCACAACTTATAGTAAATCAAACAACATGAGAGTTTGCAACCTGAGATGAGAGGATGTCGACATACGCAAAAGAGGTCATTAGACTGGCAGCCTTGTTTCGTAACTGCCGACTTCTTCAAGTCAGCCGAGATGATAACAACCACACCGACGCGTTGGCCAACTTGGCAAGCTCAATGCAAACTAGAAAAACAAGAACAATAATGATTGACTATTTGTCAAGCCCGAGCATAGAACAGCCGATCACAGAGCAAGAAACAATGTGTGTGGACTTGGGACCAAGCTGGATGGATACAATTGTTGCATTCCTGAAAGAGGAAAAGCTGCCAGAAGACCATAAGGAGGCACACAAGATCAGATTGAAGTCGGCAAGATTCAGTCTGACAGCAGACGAACATCTCTACAGAAGGTCCTTCACAAGACCTCTTTTAAGGTGCGTACACCCTTCGCAGGTTGAAGACTTTCTATACAAAATTCATGAAGGAATTTGTGGAAGCCACGCTGGGGGTAGATCACTAGCTCACAGGGCCATTACCTAGGGGTATTGGTGGCCCTACATGCAAAAAGATGCAGAAGTCTACGTGAAGAAGTGTGAACAATGCCAAAGGTTCGCACCTTTGATACACCAGCCAGCTGCTGACCTAAACCCTGTATCCAGTCCATGGCCATTTGCCCAATGGGGCATGGACCTCATTGGACAGTTGCCCCAAACAACTGGGCAAATGAAGTACTTGTTGATAGCAACAGATTACTTCACGAAGTGGATAGAAGCAGAACCTCTTGCCAAAATCTGAGATGTGGACGTCAAGAATTTCATATGGAGAAACATCATCACCAGATTTGGCATCCCAAGGGCAATAGTTGCCGACAACGGAACGCAGTTTGACAGCAAACTCATCAAGAACTTCTGTGCAAAATTCAAGATAAAAAATTACTTTTCAACACCAAGTTTTCCCCAAAGCAATGGGCAAGCAAAAGCATCCAACAAAGTAATTTTGGATGGGATAAAAAAGAGGCTGCAGGCAGCAAAAGGAAAATGGGTAGACGAATTGCCCAATGTACTCTGGGCATATCGGACTACGCCGAGAAGATCAATAGGGGAAACCCCCTTTGCCATGGCTTATGGCACAGAAGCAGTCATCCCACTAGAGATCGGCACCCTAGGGATCAGAATCGAAGGAGTAAAAAATGGCACAAATGATATACTTCTAGCCCGAGATTTGGATCTCTTAGAAGAAAGAAGGGAGAAAGCTGCAATTCAGCTCGCAACATACCAGCAGCAACTTGCTAGAGCTTACAATAAGAAGGTTAATCCAAGGCATTTTCAGGTCGGCGACCTAGTCCTAAGAAAAGTTGTTGGCAACAAGAAGGATCCAAGAGAGGGCAAGCTTGGCCCAAACTGGGAAGGGCCCTACAGAATTACTTCAGTATTGGGCAATGGAGCATACTAGCTTGAAGATAATGAGGGCAAAGCATTACCAAGACCTTGGAACACTTGTAATTTGAAATTTTTCTATCATTAGATATTCCTTGTTATTTTTTGCCAAACATCATCAAATAAAATCTTAGCAGAATTCTCCAAGACTTGTGAATTGATAAAAGATACATAATGATTGTTTCTGAATAATGAGAACCCAAGTAGAACCCAGGTTCACATTGGGGGCAGAGAGAAGACAATAATGCTTAACGCTTGTTGAAATTTGTAGCAATTTACAAGTTGAAGTTAAGCCGAGATAATTATTTATCTTCACTTGTTGAAATTTGTAGCAATTTACAAGTTAAAGTTAAGCCGAGATAATTGCTTATCTTCACTTGTTGAAATTTGTAGCAATTTACAAGTTGAAGTTAAGGCGAGATAATTGTTTATCTTCACTTATTGAAATTTGTAGCAATTTACAAGTTAAAGTTAAGCCGAGATAATTGTTTATCTTCACTTATTAAAATTTGTAGCAATTTACAAGTTGAAGTTAAGCCAATATATTGCTTAGCACTTGTTATAGCTTGAGAAAAGTTTACAAAAATTAAACCTTTACATGTTTATCCTTGTTGAAACTTATAAGTAATTTACAGGACAAGTACTTGCCGAGGTAAATTATCGGGTGGCATTACCGAGGTGTTTTACCCCGAGAAGATTGCACAAAGAAGAATGAGTACATATATACAGAATATTCTAAGTATAAAATCATATGAAGACAAAGAAGAGAAGATAGAAGTACAAGCATTTAATAAAGGTAAAACCTTGTATTAACATTCAAAGAAAAAAGGGGGGCACATCGGCCATACAAAGAACATACATTGTTCCCTAAGATTAAGAAGCAAGAAAATACAAGATTTAGAGCTAAGGCTCCTCTCCTCCAGATTGTTGAAGGTCAGATACCACCTCAGCTTCCTTCTCTGCCGCTATCTTGGCGTCAATTTCTTGGAGAGTTACTTCAACAGTCTTGACCTCAGAAGGGATGTCGGCGGGTGTAATCTCAGGAACAGCTTCTATGGAAACCAAATCACCTTCCTCATCCTGAGTCAAGTCTAGGACTTGATCATTCTGAGGAGGGGACTTGGCCCCATCAGTGTCTTTTGATTTCCTAATCAAAGCCTCGTCCTCTTCCTCCTCGGCCTCATCCTCAGCATCAGATTCGTCGACATCTTCACTTGGAGTTAGGGCTGGAGGAAATGGCAAGGGAATGGCGTCGGCCTTGCGCAAAGGAGAGTCATCAGGAACATTAAGTTTTTTCAGAAGAGACATCCAACCAAGGGTGAAACCCTTATTGCATGCCTGCTTCACTTGAAGTTCATAGGCCTCAGTAACGTCGGCCATGCCTTGATTATACGCCTTTTCATCAGCGTCTTTGATTTCAGTTTCTTTGGTGGCCAGGGCCTCCTGAAGCTCTTTCTCAGCTTGGGCCATTTTTTCCTCGGCCTCTCTCCTTTGAGATTCAGACACCTTTCTGATAGCCTCAGCCTTCTCTTCAGCATTATTCTGAGCTTTAATTGCAGCTTCGGCTTGATCCTCCAGTTTCTTCATTTTTTATTCAAGGCCCTTATTGATCTTTTGAATGGAAGAGAACTCCTTCTTCATGTCGGCCAGCTTTTGCCGATTCTCAAAAGACTGCATTGAAAAAGAATGGGTATGCTGGATGGCCTGAAAGAAAATAGAGGTATTAAAGAATATTCAAAGTGTGAAATAAAGAAAGAGAAAAATTCACCAATTAGAAGACATTTACCTGAACAGAGTGTTGAAGCATTAGGGCGTAATTCTCATACTCGCTAAAGCCAGCATTTCGCTCCAAGTCCCCTGGCAGAAGCAAAGCGGTACTGAGTGCTACGCTGACATTAATATCATCGGCACTGTCAGTAGTTAGGACTGGCTTGTCCTCCAGAGTAATTTGAGGGGTCCAAGGGATACCGCTCTGTTTGGACCCCGAAGTCGTCGCGGAGGAGGACCTCGGCTTTTTGGATTTTGGGGATTTTGATGGTTGTGTTTCAGAGCGCCTCTTCCCAGCGGAGGGTTGAGGTTTGTCTCTCTCAGCCAACTTTGATATAGGCAAAGCATCCTCAGACTCAGTCTGAGTAACTTTAGCCTTTGGTTGGGCCTTCTTAACTCTTTTTGGCTTAGGTAGAGGAAGGGTTTGTGCTGGTTGATCATCAACCGATGATGAAATGCTGGCCAAAAGATCTTTCACAACTAGTTTTGCGCGACCCATCTCGGCAGTAGAAACCATTCGACGTCGGCGGCAGCGCTGTGAAATTGGAACCAGGTATGGAACTGAAGTAGATGGTTGCTCGGCCGAATCAGAAGTTGACCCCTGATCTGTCCGAGATGTGGATGCAATCTGTGGGGTAGTGGCAGAAGGTGGAGATAAGCTCTTCTTCTTCTTCTTCCTGGGGACATCGGGGAGAACTGATTTGTATGTTGGGATGAAGTTGAGAAGCAGGGGTGCCTTTCGCTTATGAATTGGCAAATCCAGAAGTCTCTTCAAATCTTTGCTAGGGACAAAGGATTAGCGAAAATCTTTTGGTGGCTGGCGGACAGCTGCAAAAAGAATAGACGTCAGAAATAGATAAAGAATTTAAGACCTTGAAAAAAAATAGGCAAAGCTTAATACTAGGCTTTTACCTTTGCCCTCTAAAACTGATCGGGGAAGAGGGTAGAGATGGATGTCCTCGTCTGGAGCAAACTCCAAATTTCCCGAGGTAATGAGATAGTCATCTCCAGCCCCCTTGTTGGAGTCTGGGAGGTCGGCTATGATTTTGAATTCTGTAGACCTCGGCTTAAGATAATAAATGAAGCCTTTTTCTTTCAAGCTAAGGGCACACATGGTGTAACAATACTGTATATCGGCTAGTGTGATCCTAACGTTTTCCTGTTTACCTAAGGCGATAATACCAAAAATCACTCGGTAAGAATTGATTGCTAGTTGCATGGGATTCAACTTATAATAATGAAGAATCTCACAAAAAAGGATGTTGAGTGGGAGTCGGAGTCCGCACTCAGTAAAAGCTACAATGGGAAGGGGCATGGCGTTTTCTGTAGGCATGATGGAGTCATCATCCCCAGCCAGTCTCAGATGGACATCGGCAGGGATGGAGAACTCTTGCCTAAATACTCAAGTTTGGTCGGGGTATCTACCCTATGTCTCCACATACCCATGATATCGGCCTAAATTAAAAGGGTTGAAATTCAGAAGGAAGATGTTTCTTATTAATGGGACCTCGGCAAAAACCTAGGTTTGGGTTAGTACAGAAATTTGTAAGCAATGTTTCAGTTTTGCCCTAAATCGTGGGTTCTACAAACAAATCCCAAACCTAAAGCTAGGAAGATGAAGATCAAAGGCACAAATTTGGAAAAGATGCAAAAAACAGAAAACAAAAACGAAGTTTCAGAAACAAAAATTGGGATGGGCTATCAAGAACATGAAGAATACAAGAGTATATGGCCAAGAACAGTGACAAAAGTGCAAAGAAGTGGTGAAACAGTGCGCGTGTTCAAAATGCGGGCAGAGGCAAAATCATGGATGAATACATTCAGATGTACGATTTATGAATTAAAAAAGCTTGAAACAGTACAGTAATGGCGACAGAGAAAAAGAAGAAACATCAGGGAATTGAAAATGAAAAGAACAGTAGCTTACCAGAAAAAGGGAAGCCGGAAAGGGATTTGCCGATGTCCTACGACGGTTGGAGGAGCAGAAGACCGGTGGAAATCTCGCCGGAAGGAGTGAACGAAGAAGGTTGCAGAACTTCGGAAGCTTGAGCGATGGAGGATTACGAAAGCTAGAGAGAGAGAGCAGGAAATTCGAATGAAAAAGTGAAGAGACGGAAAAAAGGGAAAAGGTTTTTGATTAAACAGAAACGGCGGCAAAAACAATCAATACACCTAGAAGAACGAGGGCGTCAAACGACGCACATAAAGAAAGAGGTGGCTAACAGGCGCGTCACCTGTACGGACCAGTAAGAGGGAAACGCGTGGCTAAAACGGTTGGGTTGAAGTGAAAAAAGCTTGAAATAGTACAGTAATGGCGACAGAGAAAAAGAAGAAACATCAGGGAATTGAAAATGAAAAGAACAGTAGCTTACCAGAAAAAGGGAAGCCGGAAAGGGATTTGCCGATGTTCTACGACGGTTGCAGGAGCAGAAGACCGGTGGAAATCTCGCCGGAAGGAGTGAACGAAGAAGGTTGCAGAGCTTCGGAAGCTTAAGCGATGGAGGATTACGAAAGCTAGAGAGAGAGAGCAGGAAATTCGAATGAAAAAGTGAAGAGACGGAAAAAAGGGAAAAGGTTTTTGATTAAACAGAAATGGCGGCAAAAACAATCAATACACCTAGAAGAACGAGGGCGTCAAACGACGCACATAAAGAAAGAGGTGGCTAACAGGCGCGTCACCTGTACGGACCAGTAAGAGGGAAACGCGTGGCTAAAACGGTTGGGTTGAAGTGTATGACAACTCATGTGTGTGAGAAGTTCCTTAAAAATCTTGATTTTTTAGGGAAAGCATGTCGGCCAGAAATGAATGATCTCGGCTATCAAACTTTAAGCCAATTTACTGGAAGAAAATACAGATATAGGTTCAATCACCTCAGAATACCGAGGTAATAGAACCTAAGGGGCAGTTGTGGGGATGTATTTTCTGAATACCATCACGTGGCAAGGTGACGCCGACGTGTCAGCCGAGGTGCCACGTGTCCTGGTTGTTACGCCGAGGTTATCTCGTCAAGACTAAGGTTATCTCTGAAGATATCGGAATCCGAGATAAATGGATAAAAGATAAGGGACAAGAGTCCTAGAGTAAAGAGGAGACTTAGCCAAGATAAAGATAAAGCTTTTAAGGAGTTTATCTCTATCTCTAAATGAGTCCAAAGTAAGTATTAAACAGGAATCCATAGAAGTCAGGCTTCTATTGGGAATAGGATTGAGGTAACTATAAAAAAGAGGCACCCCCGTGGGCCTAAGGGACGCAGTTTTATGCTTTGAGTAGTAAATTTAGCACTTGATTATCTTTGAGAGATATACTGACTTGATTGTCGGAGTGCCCTCGGGTGGAAGTGTAGGAACCCATATTTTATGTCTTCGTCATGTTCATGAGCATCTGTATGATTATGGCTTGTTAAGTTTGCATGTGTATGTTTGTGACTTGTTTCGCTTAAGTGTGGTGTGCTTGTCTTGTTCCTTCCTTGATGTGAAACTTAGGTCACGCCTTGCCTGAGTTATACTAGCCGATGTTATTCCAAGCCTAGGTTACGTTACGCCTAGATCATTCCAAGCCGAGGTCATCCTCAGTCTAGAAGTATCTTGGAACCCCTTGTTGACCTCCGTCCTCGCCTTGACACATTAGCCGAGGTGTTACCTTGCACCCCAGTGATCTCGCCCTGGAGTGGTATGACCTAGACCGAGGTGTGGCGCATCTAGGCCAAGATGTGGCACAGCTTAGTCAAGTGTTGTCCTTCCTAGCCGGGGTCATTGTCACCTTAGTTGGCCGAAGTCCTTTTGTTAGCCGATGTCACCCCTTGCCGGAGTGCCATTCCGTGTAGCTTGTTAAATACGCCTTGTTATTAGCCGATGTCATTGCCTCGTCAGAGAGCCCATACCGCTTTACTTGTTGAACACACTTCCACCATGCTTTGTCTGGTCTGTCAGCCACCTCATCAGGGAAAACCCAACCAGTCGCCACCACGTGTCTCAGCAGAGGGTTAACCCCAGAACCGGGTAAAGAAAACTATCATTTGGTATCAAAACCTTGCCCTGTAGAGAGAGAAAACTCTAGGAGGAAGAAGGAGCTCTAGAGTGAGAAAGTAAGTCTTCAAGCTTGATTCCTTGGGATCAAACCATTAGATTCGTGTTCTAAGGTTAGATTCTTGATCTGCTCATGATGTTCTCTATGTTCATGTTATTGCATTGCATGATCGGATATGATTTGTAAGCCATGCATTGTTTTTAGCAATTTACAAGTTGAAGTTAAACTAAAGTAATGCTTAACGCTTGTTGAAATTTGTAGCAATTTACAAGTTGAAGTTAAGCCAATATATTGCTTAGCACTTGTTATAACTTGAGAAAAGTTTACAAAAATTAAACCTTTACATGTTTATCCTTGTTGAAACTTATAAGTAATTTACAGGATAAGTACTTGCCGAGGTAAATTATCGAGTGGCATTACCGAGGTGTTTTACCCCGAGAAGATTGCACAAAGAAGAATGAGTACATATATACAGAATATTCTAAGTATAAAATCATATGAAGACAAAGAAGAGAAGATAGAAGTACAAGCATTTAATAAAGGTAAAACCTTGTATTAACATTCAAAGAAAAAAGGGGGGCACATCAGCCATACAAAGAACATACATTGTTCCCTAAGATTAAGAAGCAAGAAAATACAAGACTTAGAGCTAAGGCTCCTCTCCTCCAGATTGTTGAAGGTCAGATACCACCTCAGCTTCCTTCTCTGCCGCTATCTCGGCGTCAATTTCTTGGAGAGTTACTTCAACAGTCTTGACCTCAGAAGGGATGTCTGCGGGTGCAATCTCAGGAACAGCTTCTATGGGAACCAAATCACCTTCCTCATCCTGAGTCAAGTCTAGGACTTAATCATTCTGAGGAGGGGACTTGGCCCCATCAGCGTCTTTTGATTTCCTAATCAAAGCCTCGTCCTCTTCCTCCTCGATCTCATCCTCAGCATCAGATTCGCCGACATCTTCACTTGGAGTTGGGGCTGGAGGAAATGGCAAGGGAATGGCGTCGGCCTTTCGCAAAGGAGAGTCATCAGGAACATTAAGTTTTTTCAGAAGAGACATCTAACCAAGGGTGAAACCCTTGCATGCGTGCTTCACTTGAAGTGCATAGGCCTCAGTAACGTCGGCCATGCCTTGATTATACGCCTTTTCATCAGCGTCTTTGATTTCAGCTTCTTTGGTGGCCAAGGCCTCCTGAAGCTCTTTCTCAGCTTGGGCCATTTTTTCCTCGGCCTCTCTCCTTTGAGATTCAGACACCTTTCTGATAGCCTCAGCCGCCTCAGCCTTCTCTTCAGCATTCGGCTTGATCCTCCAGCTTCTTCATTTTTGATTCAAGGCCCTTATTGATCTTTTGAATGGAAGAGAACTCCTTCTTCATGTCGGCCAGCTTTTGTCGATTCTCAAAAGACTGCATTGAAAAAGAATGGGTATGCTGGATGGCCTAAAAGAAAACAGAGATATTAAAGAATATTCAAAGTGTGAAATAAAGAAAGAGAAAAATTCACCAATTAGAAGACATTTACCTGAACAGAGTGTTGAAGCATTAGGGCATAATTCTCATACTTGCTAAAGCTAGCATTTCGCTCCAAGTCCCCTGGCAGAAGCAGAGCGGTACTGAGTGCTACGCCGACATTAATATCATCGGCACTGTCAGTAGTCAGGCCTGGCTTGTCCTCCAGAGTAATTTGAGGGGTCTAAGGGATACCGCTCTGTTTGGACCCCGAAGTCGTCGCGGAGGAGGACCTCGGCTTTTTGGATTTTGGGAATTTTGATGGCTGTGTTTCAGAGCGCCTCTTCCCAGCGGAGGGTTGAGGTTTGTCGCTCTCAGCCAACTTTGATATAGGCAAAGCATCCTCAGACTCAGTCTGAGTAACTTTAGCCTTTGGTTGGGCCTTCTTAACTCTTTTTGGCTTAGGTGGAGGAAAGGTTTGTGCTGGTTGATCATCAACCGATGATGGAATGCTGGCCAAAAGATCTTTCACAACTAGTTTTGTGCGGCCCATCTCAGCAGTAGAAACCATTCGACGTCGACGGCTGCGCTGTGAAATTGGAACGAGGTATGGAACTGAAGTAGATGGTTGCTCGGACGGATCAGAAGTTGACCCCTGATCTGTCCAAGATGTGGATGCAATCTGTGGGGTAGTGGCAGAAGGTGGAGATAAGCTCTTCTTCTTCTTCTTCCTAGGGACATCGGGGAGAACTGATTTGTATGTTGGGATAAAGTTGAGAAGCAGGGGTGCCTTTCGCTTATGAATTGGAAAATCCAGAAGTCTCTTCAAGTCTTTGCTAGGGACAAAGGATTGGCGAAAATCTTTTGGTGGCTGGCGGACAGCTGCAAAATGAACAGACGTCAGAAACAGATAAAGAATTTAAGACCTTGAAAGAAAACAGGCAAAGCTTAATACTGGGCTCTTACCCTTGCCCTCTAAAACTGATCGGGGAAGAGGGTAGAGATGGATGTCCTCGTCTGGAGCAAACTCCCAATTTTCCCTGAGGTAATGAGATAGTCATCTCCAGCCCCCTTGTTTGGAGTCTGGAGGTCGGCTAGATTTTTGAATTCTGTAGACCTCAGACTTAAGATAATAAATTGAAGCCTTTTTCTTTCAAGCTAAAGGGCACACATGGTGGTAACAATACCTGTATATCGGCTAGAGGTGATCCTACGTTTATCCTGTTTAGCTTAAGGCGGATAATACCAAAATCACTCGGTAAGATTGATTGCCCAGAATTGCATGGGATTCAAACTTTAATAGAAGAATCTCGCGAAAAGAGGATGTTGAGTTGGGGAGCCGGAGTCCGCACTCAGTAAAGTTACAATGGGAAGGGGCATGGCGTTTTTTTGTAGGCATGAGGGAGTTCATCACCCCAGCCAGTCTCAGATTGGACATCGCAGGGAATGGAGAACTCTTGCTTAAAATACTCAAAGTTTGGTTCGGGGTATTACCTATGTCTCACATACCCATGAGTATCGGCCTTAAATTAGAAGGGTTGAAATTCAGAAGGAAGATGTTTTCTTTTAATGGGACCTCGGCAAAAAAAACCTAGGTTGGGTAGTACAAAGAATTTGTAAGGCAAGTTTCAGTTTTTGCACTAAATCGTGGGGTTCTCTAACAAACAAACCGCAAACCTAAAGCTAGGAAGATGAAGATTCAAAGGCACAAATTTGGAAAAGATGCAAAAAACGAAAACAAAACGAAGTTTCAGAAAGAAAATTGGGATGGGCTTATCAAGTAACATGAAGAATACAAGAGTATATGTGCCAAGAAACAGTGACCAAAAGTGCAAAGAAGTGGTGAAAACGATGCGCGTGTCAAAATGCGGGCAGAGGCAAATACAAATGATGAAATACATTCAGGATGTACGATTATGAATTAAAAAGCTTGAAAACAGTACAAGTAATGGCGACAAGAGAAAAAGAAGAAACATCAGGGAATTGAAAATGAAAAGAACAGTAGGCTTACCAGAAAAAGGAAGCCGAAAGGGATTTGCGATGTCCTACGACGGTTGGAGGAAGCAGAAAGACGGTGGAAATCTCGCCGGAAGGATGTGAACGAAGAAGGTTGCGAACTTCGGAAGCATTGAGCGATGGGGAATTACGAAAAGCTAGAGAGAGAGAGGCAGGAAATTCGAGATGAAAAAGTGAAGAGACGGAAAAAGGGAAAAGGTTTCTTTGAGTTTAAACAAAGGAAACCGGCGGCAAAAACAATCAATACGCCTAGAAAAAACGCGGGCGTCAGACGGGCGGCACATAAAGAAAAGAGGTGGCTAACAGGCGCGTGTAACAAAGCCCGGGGGAACCTCGCTACAGCTCGGACCTCGATTTGTAGTCCGGTTCTAAATCTGAACCAAAGAGTCCAAATCGGCAAATCGTTTGAGAAAACATATTTTTTTTAAAAGATAGTGCCAAACATGGACCCTGCTTGTCAGATACAGAGTCGCCACCATAAATATTTTATTTTTGGAAATTTAGGAAACCCTGACTCGGGTGCCAAAAGGCAACGTGTCCATCAACACAAAGGTTGCCTCGGTTCGGGAACTTGGGTACGATTGGGGAAGGTCACTTCGTGAGCACCCCCGCTCTGCCCGATCAAAGATCGGCCTCAACTAACCATGATAATCTATTTTTTGAAAACATTGTGAGTTCCTTATTTCCGGTTATTAGGCCTAGGTTACTATGTGATGTGCACAGCATACAAGTATAGACTGAGTCCGCCTGAATTGGAACAAAACATTTCATGTTCGCTTTTTTTAAAGTGGTTTGCTACCCGCAGGTAGGCTTGAAACATTTGATGATTTATTCCAATTTAAGTAACCCAACCTCACCCACAGGCACCAGGCAGTTATATCACATAAGCAATTAGCCTCATGGTAAGCATGTTATTTCATGGCAGTCACTCACACGCATGTAAGGATGCTAAAGCATAAAACTTACCGAGTACTCCAAGCCAAATAGAAACTTCATTAGAAATCATGCATGATCCTAAGTGTACAGAAATGCCTAATGCAACACATGCAAAATGCAACTAAAATAGGCTCGGCTATTCTAAACATGGCATATGAAATGCTAACAGCTAACATGTATTCAATTTAGATTTGAAAATTACGATGCAGTTAGTATGATGCGCCGAGCCCGATGCATGCAAAACAGTGAATGATGCAAACATGCTGTCATACTGTATGCTTATTGAAATATGCCCTAATCTAACCATCATAAGCGTATAAATAAAAAGGGAGAAAGACTGGGATTGGAAGACATACAACACACACACGCACACTTATACAGTTATGCCCTCGCGCGGGAGGGTCCGAATAAATATACAGTCCCAAATAAAAGAATAGTACAGGTCCAAATATTGCAGTCCGAATAATATACAAATCCTAATTAATTAACAAATTAACTAAGAAAATAATATAAACTGGCATGCAGCCAGGGTCTGCCTTGACTCCGCTCCGGATTGATGAATGATGCATGCCCGGGTTGCCTTTCGCGGAAAATCCACTGGGATGCCCCAATTAGCCTCTATTTAGCAGTTAATCTTGGAAAGCGTGCCGAGCTCCGAAAGTTATTGTTCTTCATTTTGCTGCAACAGAGAGCAGGAAAGGGGCATAGCAATTATTTTCACAGATATTGCATGCCTCGATCCTCGTGCCACCAATCACGCATACCGGAGGCATGATGGCCGAGGAGTCGAATTGCACAACTCAATATAGAATGAATGCACATGAAAACACAACAAGAACCTAACTCCATCATGGATAATCCGGAGTGTCGGTGAACTGGGGAATTGAGACACATTCCGTCACTCGGAGTACGAAATACACCTCGTTTCCCGTGCCCGCGACTAACTCCTATTCCAAACACGATGCAATATGCATGACATGCATGAAAATGAACTAAGATACAATCCTAACATAACATAATGCTAGTGAATGACATGCCTCGAAATACGTGCACAACGGGCACGCGAACCGAGGAAATGACAGAATGCGATCTAAGATAACACCTAGCATGCATTATGCTGTAAAAATGAGATGCCTCAAAATGCGTGCACACGGCACGCAAACTGAGAAAAATGACAGAATACGATCTAAGATACACCTAGCATGCACTATGCTGTAAAAATGAGATGCCTCGAAATGCGTGCACAACGGGCACGCAAACCAGACGGCAATGGCAGAATGCGATCTAAGATACAACCTAGCATGCACTATGCTGTAAAAATGAGATGCCTCGAAATACATGCACACGGGCACGCAAACCGAGGCAAATGGCATATGCAATGCAATGGACATGGGAATTCGATATGGGCTTACACTAACATGAGAGAGCCTCGCCCACACTCACATAAGAGGCCGGTGGATGAAAATGAAGTGCCTCGAAATGCTGCACACGGGCACGCAAACCGAGGCAATGGTATATGCAATGCAATGGCATGTGAAATGGCATACAAGCATGCAACATGGACTTATACTAACATGAGAAAGCCTCAGCCACACTCACATAAGAGGCCGATGGATGAAAATGAAGAATGCCTCGAAATGCGTGCACACGGGCACGCAAACCGAGGCAATGGTATAGCCAATGCAAATGGCATGGAAATGCATACAAGCATTCTAATGGATTTTCAGCAATGAAACGTGGGGGAAAACAGCCCCGAAATGAGGCAAAAACACACCCGATGCGCCGGAATAGTCCCGAAACACGAATTTTGGCACCCGAAATGGCCTAAGCTTATACCAAACATACAAAATTGGCACATACAATGAATAGACAGAAGCAAGAGCAGCCCTAAATATGCATTTTACTAGTACAAATCGGTGGCAAACAGCAAACCAAGATAGGGCAAAACTAGCATGCAAGAAATGGCCCTAAACATGGGATTAAGAAGCAACTCATAGCTGATGTCCCAAACAGGTTAGGCCCTTCAACAAAGTTTAAGAGGGGCCCAAAATATGATGTTTTTCAGAACGTGTAAAAACCCCAAAAACAAGCACAGGTATGGCTGCATTCCCATGCAAGAAAAAGGGCCAAAAGGTGTCAAGAGGCAAGTGGTATATGAAAAAGCCAAACTGAAAAAATTCCCTTCTACACATTGAAGAGGGACCAAAAATAAGCATATTTACAGGAACTGTAAAAACTCCAAAACAGTATACAAACATGCTAGAAATGCAATGCCAAAATAAGGCTCAAAAGAGGCTGTACATGAGGTATGCAAAAAAATTCCACAAACGGCAAAGACCCTTAATAAAACATGAAGAATGGCCAAAATAAGACTATTTTCAGTGTTGTAAAATGGCCAAAAACAAAAGCATGATAGGCTAACAAAAACATGCAAGAATAGGGACCAAAAGAGAGATATAACAATGAAGTGACATATGGAGGTCCCAAACCATGAAAGGCCTAAATGAAACATAAAAAGATAATGGACCAAAATAAGACTATTTTCAGAACTGTAAAATGGCCAAAAACCAAAGGCACAATAGGCTGCCAAAGCATGCAAAAATGGGACCAAAAAGGGAGTATAAAGGCAAGTACACATGGAAGTCCCAAACATTGGAGCCCTCTTAAATGTTGATGAGAGGGGCTCAAAAATAAGCCTATTATCAGTTTACAATATGCTCCAAAACAATCACACACAAGCTAAATATCATGCAAAGAATGCATTTTAGAGGGATAATGAAGCAAGTGCAAGATGGAGGGCTCAAATAGGGTTGAGCCCTTTAATGAGACATGAAAATGAGCTCAAAAGAAGGCCACTTTCAGTATGGCGGAGCTCAAAGAAAAAAGCATAGAGGGATTACAAAAAGATACAAGAAAAGGGCCCAAAAAGGTGAAATGTAACTCACCCTTGAAGACCAAAGCTTTTGTTGCTTCTTGGACCAAAATTTGTTTACCTCTTAGATGCTGGAATTCTTCCCCTTGCTGCTGAAATGGAGTGGTGGTGGTAGAGCTTGGTGGTGATGAAGAAAACAAGGTGTAGGACTTAGGGATTTTTAGGAAAATGAGAAAGATGGAGGGAGTATGTGTATTGAGGCTTGAAGACAATTTTTCTAACCCCAAAATATGATGTTTTCCCTTGGTTATATGGAACAAAAGGGTGTAAAGGTGGAGAAAAAAGGAGCCAACTTTCCCCCACAAAATATTCCCGGATATTGATATTTTCTGGGGGATAAAGCTATACAGCTGTAAAGTGAACAGTGTGAGGATTACGGCCGGCCAAGTATTTTTGTTGCAGGTGGCCGGCCGGCCACATCCCCTAGCCGGCCGGCTAGGGGTCAAAAGGGTCAAGCTGGTTTAGTGGCCGGCCACCACATGATGGTGTCCTCCCATGTGTCCTCAACACAACCCTGTGTTAAAAGTCCAAGAAAGTGGCTCAAGGGTGTTTCAACATTAGCTCGGAAAGAGGGGTTCAAAAGGGTCAGGTGGAATTACTGGCCGGCCACCAACTTTTAGGATCCTCCC